TGAGCTGAGTATAAAAATATATTTGATGATAATAATTAGAAAATGGTATGCGTCTCAGTTTATAACATTCCATTATTATTCATAAAACATTTATTGAAAAAAATACAATTGGCAAGCGAAGCATCTTTATTAGAACCAATAAAACCCCAAAAGCAGCAAGAAAAATAAAGTATAAATTTAAATTACATCCTTAAATATTGAAAATTCGACTATTAAATAAACCACTGTGTAATACTTTTCAATATAATTACAACTCTATTTTGAAGAATGAATAAAGCACGTCTCTACAGTACGACTGGAAGATTAAAAGAGTGACAATCGTTTTACTAACGTAAACAATCAAGATAAAAGCACAATCGAAAGCTACAAAGCAGCATTGTCTCAAGAGTTCAAAGAGGTGATATAGAAGATAATTTTTGCGTGTTTTATCAATTAGATCCAACATTAAAAATATCTAACACCAATGCAAAGCTTCTCTCAGCTAATAGCAGGCACCACCCTTCACCGATAAAATCCGCATAAAGAAACTGTTCTAAATAACGTCGCGAAAGACGCGATCACGCTTTCGAATGCTCAGATTCGGTGGTCGTTTTCTGATAACGCTGATGATCGCGCCACAAAAAGCGAGTAGCACACGCCGCGTGAAAACAGGCTTGTGGAGAAGTTCGTTCGCCGTTAATTTCCATCATTTCCACTTTCTGGCCGCGGGTACGACATTCATATCCTCCTGTCTTTCCTGCTCAGCTTTCTTCGGCGCCTATCTAAACTGTGACAGGATCGTCCACACAGGAAGGAACGGCGTTGTGCGTGTGTAGGAGCATAAAGTTTCGTTCATCGGCGCGGAGAGGTACATTGTAAAGAAAGGTGGCGGCGGAGGTGGTGGGGACGTGTGTATTGGCATCGAGTGGGGTAGTAGAGGCAGTAACGGTGGAAGTGGTAGCGACGGGAGTTAGTGGGGGTTGGCTCGCGTCGCAGAACGAGGCGAAATACGGTGTAGGCGCGCTCGCCGGATCCAGCTTCAGTGTCGTTCCGGCTGCGGCTTCGTACGGTTAGTCAGAGAGTTCTGTAGAATCGTAACATTGTCGTGGTCGTCGCCACTCTTTTTTTTCCCCAGCAGTGTCGCCGAGCCGCCGAGACTCGGTGCGGTTGCAGCGCGAGTTGTACACCATGACGATGGGCTAAACACCGTAAGTGTGTAAGTTTCGAGAAAAAGGAAAACGAGAGGGAAGAAACGTTCGGTCGGTGTGAACGTGTGATTGTGCTACGGCGATGTATCCAGGTAGTTAATGCAAGCCTGAAGTGTAGGATCGCGCGAGGAAAGATAACAGCATCGGCAACGTCGGTGATATAAGATGAGCCCAGCCTCGCAGGGCGGCGTAGAGGTGGAGCGTTACATTGGTAGCTGTTTGATATCGTCGAACCTGAGGTCTGCGCCGCACAAGCCGATCGTGGCTAAAAAGGATCCTGTCTCGCGTGGTAAGACAAGGGGTTGCTACAACGGACAGAGTTTCGCGAACGACCAGGTGCAATATGGTCCCGGCGGTTGGGCTGGCGCCCCTTTGATATCCATGACGTCGAGCCCGCGAAGGTGTAACCAGAGATCGTCGCCATCCCTCGGTCAACAGCAACAGCAACCGCCGCAACAACAGCAGCAGCAGCCGCCGCCGCCGCCGCAACAGCAACAGCAGGTCTGCGACCAGCAAGTGTCGTCACACCTGCCCAAGAATCCGCTCTCCAGGCTCGCCATCCACACGCAGGGAGCGCCGCTAATCTTGACCGGTCGGTTTCACAATCGAGGCAAGCTGCACAACAGCGTCGGGAACGTTAATGGCATTAGCAATGCGGCGTGCAGTGGTGGCTCGGTTAATAGTTACGTCCACGGTAATGGGAACGGTACGACGAACGGGACGATGAACGGTGCCGCGAGGTGTCCGTCGCGGCCGCAGAGGCCCGAGCTGCCGAAGAAGCCGCAGGGTAGCCCGAAGCCCGATTGCGCCGGCAAGGAGAGCACCGGGCCGGCGAACATAGCGAACATCGATTCGCTGAGCATCGCCAGCGACGAGAGCTCGGGCTCGAACAACTCCGAGAACAGTTTGCCGCGGATAATCAAGCCCCGTAAGCGCAGAAAGAAGGACAGGAAGCCGACGACGAATAACCCGGCGGTCGGCGAGGTTGCGAAACACGAGGAACAACAGCAGTCCGGCGCGAGCGTGGCCAGCGACTCGAGCAACGCCGCGGTCCCTTTAAAACCGTACACGGCCGGCTGTTACGAGGCCGCGCCTCAGCTCAGGAATCACAGAAGGCCACCCATAGCGAGGGAAAGCGTGTACGCCGGGTGTAGAGCGCAGACAGCGAGCATGTCGGCGCAGGAGATCGCCGACGCGAGACAGAGGTATGCACACCGGCACGTGGAAGTGAAAGTGCTGGACGACAACAGAAACGTCGTGGTACCGGTGCAAATTCGAACGGTCCCGAAAGGATACAGGCACGGCAGCCACCACCACCACCACCACGTGGTGCCGCGTTATCTCCACGAGTACAACCTGGTGGGCTGCGAGGACGGCATCAAGGACGGATTAGGCTCGTGCCAATGCAGGTACTGCGACCCCTCCGGCCTGATCTGGGACGTAGACCAGAACTGTTACTCGCCGTTTTACACGCCGGCCGCCACCGAGTTCTGCTCGAACCATTTCTCGCACGTACCGCTGTTCCTTTCGCGACCCACCCTCAACTGCCAAGGGCACAGCGTCGAGAAACTGCTGAACGACCATCTGGTACATCCGGAGAAGGACGCCGGCTCCGGCGTCGTGCTTAGACGCAGCTGGAGCGACCCGTCCAGCTACTTCAGCGAGGAGATCGCCGCGCCCAGTAAAGACGTTGGTGTGATCGGTGATAGGGGACAGACTGAGAGTGGCAAGCGTCGAACGCTATGGCGCGGCGACTCGATCGGTATCCCGACGAATGGCGTCGGGTCGTCCGGTCCGGGGCTAGTGAACGGTACCGTGTCGTCGCCCAAAGGCTTGGAGGTCTCCACCGAGATCATAACGTCGCCGAACGGCCATCGGGATCTCGAGATCAAGTTCTACTCGGCGTCACCGAACGCCCCGGCGCCCGGCGACGACAAACTGATCTTCGATCAAACGGAGGAGGTCGACGAGGACGAGGAAGACTTCAGCGATATTTGGAGTTACCACGAGTCCAAGTTGCAGCAGGACTTCCGTACGTTGCTGCAGGCAGAGGAGTGAACGGTACCATCCCCTCTGCCTGGCCCGATGCGGGCTCGTTCGAACGGAAACAGAGCAGTCGCGCGCGTGTGCACTATTGTGGTTTGTCGATGTGTGCGAGCGGAAGGAAAGTCGAAATCGTGTGCGTGAACGAAAGAGGCGACCCTGGAGGTTCAATTAGTTCGCCGGTACGCGCGACGGAGTAGCTCGAAAACCTGCTGTATACGTATCGAATGCTAGCGAAGTTCGTGCGCGTATGGTCGACGGTGAACCTTGAAGTCACGAGGGGTGCCAGTTGCGAGAGCAAGTCCCAGAGAGTCGCGGTTTCTTTCGAGCGATGTCAATGTATAACACGGTCGTATTACTTTCACCTAGGACTGTTCGAAATTATCACGGGCAACGTCGACGACGATGCTGTCTTTCGTATTCAGGAATTTTACGATTCGAGACAATCCGATCCAAAGCAACCCTGCCGACTCTCGGCAAAATCCATCCAACGGTTCAACCCCAGTCGTCGACATCTTTCTTTGAACAGATATCTAACTGTACACCGCGGCAGAGTTCGTTAGAAATTCTTCGAGTCGTTCGAACACGGGGATAATTTGTGCGGTGTAGAAAGTCTCGGTTGTTGGTACAGCATCTTAATTTCATTGACCCGACTGTTCCTCCGCCGTCGACCATACTCGACACTTGTCCCCGCAATGACGCCCACGTTGCACAGTCTTCGACGATCGACGAGTGTAACCGGCGGTAACGAGCAAAGCTACGTGTCGAACGATTCTTCCTCCTAACGGTGTACGTTGTATACACACACTATACGTGACGTGCGTGCGTTCACGCATTGGGTGTAGCTTCTGGAGGATCGTACCTGGACGTCGCGAGTGTATGCGGTTTGTTTGTCGATGACGCCGTGCTGCTAATAAGTGGTGGTTGGCTCGCATTTTCGATTGAATCGGTTTCAATGAAGCCAGGTGTGGTGGGAGCTAAGGGACGCGCCATCGGGTCCTCCGTCGTCGTTGGAACAAATATAGTGACTTTCTTGAGACTCAAACGGCCGCTTAAGCCTGTCCGATAAACCGGAGAGGCTGCGATTAAGCGAATCTAGGTTGACTTCGCTGCTATCGGCTCCGCGTGTCTCGGGATTTTCATTCAACGATCGTTTCCATTCGCTCTCCACAAACTATATTTGTTCCAGCAAACGCTCGCGCGCGTGATTTTCCGCTTCCTTGACGGAGTTTGGTGTCACTCGGACGGTCTTTAAATTCGAATTGTGAACGAAAATCCAGTGATTCGAGAATAACGAGTAACCGCTCGGTCGAATGAAAATTACTGCGAGCGCAGTTGTCCTCCCTTGTTGTCCGAGGCGGGGTTGGCCGAGCTCTAGTAATTGATGGTTGCACGTTCGATCGACACCAACGAGATAGCGTCTTTTTCTCGCCGCCGCGCCGCGCCGCGCCGACCACCATCAACGAGACAAATAGAGTCGCGACTGTTTAAATCGTAATAATCGATGGAATCGTCCAGTGATCGTCAGGAGAGCTCGTATTTCATGTCTGCGCGATTCTCCCTTCCCAACCGCGGTCACGCGATGCCCGGCTGCGCTCTTCGGCCGCACGATTCATTATTTTCCCATCGAACGCCGGCACTTTGCGTTTTTCTCCCAGGCTTTTACCAGAGCCTCCGAACAGCATTTTACATGCTGTTCGTGAAAATCTTCTTTCATCGATCCGTTCCGGGGGCAGCCTTGTAGCGTTTAACCGCCGGACGAGAAGCCAGGCTCGAAAATATTTATTTTCATCCAATTTCCTCCCTCGGTCGCGCGAATCGCGCTTTTCGATAACCGCCCTTTTTCAGAGACGCGTTGTTAATAAATAGGTTTTCGACTGGCTTCACCGGTTAAACAAAGACTCATTTCGTTCATCGGATACGTCGTTTTCGTTCCGAGATACCGAAAGCGTCGGCTCGACCAAGGCTCCGATATCGCCAAAAATCATGCACACCGTTGTATAAAGTTTGATATCAACATTTATTAACACTGGAGGCACCGATTCGTTTCTAACCCGCTTTGAATCGCTTCCGGTGTTAAAACTTTCGAAAATTCGGTTCGACTTTGTCCTCGGCCGCGGCAGCCTGCGTGTTTGTTCGGCCGTTTAAAAAAGTGTGTATGTCAGCCGAGACGCGAAACGGGCTAATATTTCGCGCGCGGCCTGGCGAATTGGCACGCAGACGGTCGGCTGTTACACGGTGAGAACCGTTTTTCGTCGCGATTTTTCATGGAAACGGCGTGTAATAAGGCGTAACAGGAATTTATCGAGGCCGATTCGTTCGTGTGCGCAGCGTATAACTGTACCCTCTCGGTTTAGTCAAAGGGCATCGCGCGGATTTCGCGTGAACCTACGGAAACGAAACATAGGAACGAGTCGATCGATCACACTCGCGGGGGACTCTTGGTGTCGCGTTGACTGCGATGGCGTCCGGTGATAGGTCGACTTGTCCAGCCGAAAAAAAAGTCTGCGTACGACGGCCACCGACGTACACAAATCTTTTTGCCAACGTCTTTTTCGTACGCGATACGAGAACTTCACGTTGATAGAGATACTAGGGAGAACAAAAACCGACACACGTACACGTATTTAATATACATACCACACGCGTAAGAAAGCATCATTTACCACGGACGAGGTGCATGGTCTGACCGAACGCGTTCGGTGCAATTTTCGTGTCGTCGCTGGATTTCCGCGGCGATGTTTCTCACTCGATCGGCGAGGTCGACTGGAAACCGTTTGAAATTTCGGTCGAATCGTTCGCTTTATTCTGTGGGTTCGCGCGCGCGAATAGAGCGCACGAAAATCTGCAGTCGGATCGTCCCGTTGCGAACCGGTGCAATTACTTTTCGTGCGGAGGGGGCTGTAACGAAGTCGCGGAAACTGTCAGACGGGCTAAGTGTGTTTTCGTACCGCGGGATGAACTCCTGGACAGAAATCTCGAATGCAAGGGGTCTCGAAAGTTTGCCCAGGACTGTAGGAAGTGTCTCAACTCTAAGTCAGTCTCTCGGTAGTCTTGCAAAAATTCGAAATGGGATGCAGCACCGCGGGCCCGAGACCTGCCTATGACACAACCATCAATCAGTCCCGTCGCTAGCTGTGGACTGTTTTACGACTTCGCTGTATGTCTTCCGTTAAGAATACGGAACAAGTCTATTGGGGTTTATCTGGCTGTATATCCTCTGCCGGCAAACCGTCGATACGAAACTCGCGATCGAGAAACGACTGAATTAAATTCATGTTTCATCTTTGACCAGCTGATGCTGTTAATATTTTAATCGAAACCAGAAGGTTTGTCTCCAGAGTAATATATATTATTATAGTAATATATATTATATAGTAATATATATTATTATAGTAATATATTATATAGTAATATATATTATTATAGTAATATATTATATAGTAATATATATTATTCTGGAGACATTTTGAGAAGTGTGTCGTCAGAAAGAATTCAATTTTGTTAGAAATGTAGATCCTAAAAAAGTGTGTGATTTATTTTGTCGTGTTTTCATCGTGCACACGATATTTTGTTTAGCCTTATAATCGATAACAGACAAAATGATGTTTTAGGTTCATTGTAATTTAGTGGTTTAAAATTTTCATTTCTCCGAAGGAAAGAAAAATACGTTAATGCCTTCACTGTTTGTACGTTAAACTTGCGAAGGAATGATCTTTCTCTGTAATTGTTTAAATGATCAGCTTTCTAATATCGTTGTTCTACTTCTAACATCGTGAATTATACTTGTCCGAGAAATACAACAATTATTTTTGCGATGCTCAAACCTTATATATTATTTAAAATACATCTTTCCTATTTTAAATTGCAAGTTTCTGCATCATACGAAGAAAAGAAACGTTTCCTTGTATCTAGCAAACCCGCGTACAGTATAACTACGTAGATGTAACCATGACACGTATTTGAAACAGTAAACGTGTTAACACGTGTTAATTTTCGCAAACGTAATGTCGCACGATTGTTTAAACTTCGCCACACTGGCACATATAACGCAATTAGGTCGGGGACCGTATTTAGTGAAAATGTGATGGTGTGAAATGTCCGAAACAATACGCTACAGAGGATTGTTCAGTCTCGTAAACACCAATTAACGTTGCTCCGTACAGTACCGTTGAAAATTCTAACAGCCGTGCTCTCTTGAAAATCGTACTCGAAGAATGTTTCGTATCGAGGCGCGCTTGATCGTTCGATCGCATGCAGCAGAACGAGCAGGACTGTTACAATTTTCATTTCATCTTAACGAGAACAATTTTCGTGGACCGATGAGATTTTTCTGACTCGCAAAGCTGAAATCGGTTTCTCGATTGGCCTCGGTCAGTTTTTCGAAGCCGTATATAGTGAAGCACTTTACCGGCGCGATACACCCGATGGTTTTGTCTTTCCTCTTTTTTTTTTGTCAAGCCGTAAAATGCAAACGAGTTGCAAACAAGTAATGAATTTATACGGTAATTGGTTCCGCACACCGTTCTTTCACGGACAGGAATATTTTATTCGTAACCGTTGATTGCACGGAGGACATATTTACCTTCGCGTACTTCTCTGAAGCACGGTGTTATTTTTCTGTTACTTACCGATGTTTATGACTCCGCAGCTCCGTTGCGGATTCCTCCGGATCGAAAAGTTATCTGAATCGTTTGTACGTTTATTAAAGAAATTAATAGAAGAGAAATACTTCTGCCTCGGCGAAATGTTATCTTTACGCAGATTTCACGAGCACCGTTATTATTCTTTGCGCAAATATTGCATTAGGGTCAGCATCGTTGCAATATCGTTATCAATGCTGCCGATTTGATAAATACCATCGTGCGTACATTCTTACTTTACGAAATACGTTACTTAAACGTTATTACTTGTGCAAAATTCATGCGAATATACGGCGAGAGTGTACTTCGAAAATGATCATTTGAACGATGTGGGAAAGATTTCAATTCGGTAGCAATTACTGAAAATGGTAAATGTTTATTTTCAACTTAA